CTAATTATTTTGTATTTTTGGGTTTTTATTTGGATGGATAGAAAACCGAAACTACTTTTTTTTATAAAAAATAATTTAATAGAATTGGAAACTACGTTAATAGAATTGGAAACTACGTTAATAGAATCGTTATAACTACAATTTTCGCAAATTATTTAGCTATTGTTTTAAATTTATTGAAGACAAAGTAATTTGAATGAGTTTGGAATGTGTAATTTTATTTTTGATATTAACGCGAATTCTTCAGTAGCATTTTTGGATTTCCAAGTGAGAGAGCTGGTTGTACAACATAGCGTGCATTTGCGACGGGGGATTTCCAGGAGGCGTGGCAGGGGCCCAGCCTAAAAGCCCAAAAGCCTGGAAGACAAAAAGAGACCGGGCCAAAAGCGAAGGAGAGAAACCAAACCAAACCAAACAAGACACTTTGGGTAATATCTATAAAAATCGTTGCTGGTGTGTGTTTCTGCGAGGGGGGGAGGCAAAAGGGGCGGGGCTGGGTCGAAAGGAGGGGTTCTTCTGAGGTTGTCAGCCTTTTTTTCATTTTTTTCTTTCTTGTATCTCTCAGATACTTCTACTTGGCGATCGCGTTCGCGTTCAAGAACAAGCCACACAAAGGAGAGAAGACCAAAGAGACCAGCCAAGAAAACCCAAGAAAAGAAAAAGAAGGAAAAAAAAACTAAAAACTTGTTCGGTCAGTGCGTTCGTCTCTGTTTGTGTGTATCTTGTATCTCTCGTCTTGGCCCAAAGTAGTAGTAGTTGTACCTGTATCTGTATCTGCCGACTCGAGATGTACATGTGTTGGCCATAAAGAAAACTCATTAAACTGGCCATGGCAGAAAGAGTAAGTCAGGGCGCACTAATTCGCCTGGCCATCATTAAAAGTCAATAAAAGGCAAGAGGAGAAGATTCAAGCTCGGAGATCCAAGATCCAAGATGCGAGCGAAGCGAAGCCAAGCTGAGATTCAGAATCCATACAATCCATGGATTCTTCTAAGCCGATTTAATTGCAGCCGACACATGTGAGGACTGTTTTCATAATTAGTTTACTCATACACTATATATATGATAGATGGTTGGGTTATAATGTTATAATGTTATATAGAGAGGGAGAAGAAAACCTCAATTCATTCGCTGGCCATTTGAGGCATTTTCCCAAGACAAAACTTGGAAAGTAGTTGTCAACACACATTGCAGAGAGAGATGGGCTGGGAAAATGATTTTCATGTTTATGCAATGACTATGGGAACAAATAACAAATATCAGTTAAAGAAAAAGCAAAAAGAAAAGACAGACAGTGCGCAGAAAAAACATTGCGAATTTCCGGAGAGCGAAGAGTTTGGGGCTCGAATTCTACCTGAAAAACCTTGCCAATTCTGGTTTCAAAGGTGTGTCCCGAAAAACAGGATCGAGAGATCGGGATCGGGATCGGGATCGTCTGGAACGGAACTGCTCTGCCGTATATCCAATGCCATATCAAGTGACCAGCCAACAAGATTCCTCTTCTCCTCTCCCCATTTTGATATTTTTTTTTTGTATTTTACTTTATCACTTACAGGTTTTTTGTTTTTGGCCAGGCGAAAGGCAAGGAGTAACAGCAGATTTAACACTTGAGAAATTAGCCGATTTCATATACCGTTTTTTAATTAAGTCTTCTTAAGTTACTGATGGGAAAGTTATATATATTTTGAGTGTGTGTGTGTGTTTTTTTTTTTTGAGCCTTCGTCGGCGGTGTCGATTAATTAATAAATGCGACAGTAAATGGTCGATAAGTGGCTGTCTGGAATTAATTGAGACGCCGAAATAAAAGAGAGACTTTCACAATAATCTGGGCTTTTAAAGTGCGGCGTCCTTGGAAAAAGGGTTTTGAAGTCGTGAGAATTGGCCTGGTTTTTTCTTTTTGGGTGTCATATTTTTACAGTGATTTATTGATTCACCTGAATTAATTAATATCAATCGATGATATAAATGCTTTTTAATGATAATTTGATTTGAAATATATTCAAATTTAGTTAATGGCAATTGCATGATTTTTTTTTTTTAATTTTAATTGATTTGGTTACATTAAAAGCATTTATTTTATGCTCATATTTCCCAGCAATAAATCTAGATAGTCCCCTACCCTCATCATCCGCTGGCTGATCCTTCAACTTAAGTGCTTCTCTTCCCCTTTTAATTTTATTTCCATTAAATTTAGTTGCAACTTTATGTGGCTGATCCATTGCGATCATAAAATGCGCATTTTACGACCCATAACCATGGTTATATAGTATTTATAAAGTATTTACTGGGGTCTAGTCGGGTCTAGGGCTAATTAAGGGACCGTCGTCGTGTGCGTGACTTACGAAAGTCAAGAAATGTGTTTTTATATTTTTTTTGTTTTGTTTTTCGGGGTGCGCACAGGATATACAGGAAATAGCTGAGGAGAGCAGGCAAAAGATACAAAAGTATCTCAACCGATATTCCCTCTCTCTCTCTCATATATTGCTTCCCTCTCGCTCACTCACTATATATCGTAATTTGATCGCTGAGCAAACAGCAAAAAGGACGCCAGGATTCAGGGGTTGCTCCTGCCTTTTTCCTGCTGTTTCACTTTTGGCTCCGGGAGCCCAGCTGTCGTTTATTCTTGCGATACGCTATATATTCTATATGGTCCCCTTTGCCCCGAGATATGATGAAATCGAATGCGGTGGTTGGTTGTTGGCCCGCCGAAACCGTTACGTGCCACATTAAACCTGCGAAAAAAAAAAATAATATAATACCCTAAATTGGTGGCTAAATGCAGGCGTTCGATCGCACAAAGTTGAATAAACTTGGATTGGAGCAAATGGGGCGTAAATTTGTGAGAACTTAATATGCACAAAAAAGAGGGGAAATTAAATCTCAAGAAGATTTTTTAAAAATTTTAGACACTTTTTTCGTCTTTTCTAAAATTTGTAAAACATCGAATTCTAAATAATTTAAATTTAGATTTTTTTTAACAATCATATAGAGGGTTAATATGATAATTAATTTTTTAGCTTTTTTCCTAGCCCATTTACTTACGTTTTACTACAACTTCCTTTTGCTAATTTCTTGCAGCTGAAAAATGCAAATGTTTTGTCGCTCGCAAAAGATCACACGATCGCCCATGGCTAATAAACCCAGACAAAAAAAAAAGAGTTTAGGAGGCGGAAACCCGAGCTCAGGAAATGCCTAGGTAAAAGTTATAAACATAATAGTTCAATGATCCTCAGTTGCAGCTGTAAAAGAAAACATGAATTCTGGTAACGATTATTTAATTGCTGGGAAATGATCAGCTGCACTGATTGATGGATCTCAAGACCCTCAAACATGAAACTATATTTTCAGGTTCTGAAAATCTATTATATTTTAGAGTTGAAAATTTCATAAATTGAGAGACCAAATCTGGATAATATTATAATGTTTCTAAAGTTCTTAAAATTGGTTCGGAATTAGAAAATCATTTTTTGGGCTGCTTTCCCTTCGCTCCGCCCAGAATTCCGCCTAAAAGATTTCGAGTTCCGTGAAAAGTTGACATTTTGCTGAGGCAATCGACCCTAAGTACACCTACAACCGATCCGATCCGATCCGGTATTTACTCAATGATTAGACAACGGCCGTTCCATATGCAAATACCAAATACCAGTTGTCAAATAAAAACCCTATATGCACATTCATATATCATACGGAGGAGTTCGTTTCCAAGAAGTTGGAAAGGAAGTTGTCCTCCACTCGATAAGCAAATAGCGCAGCGAAAACACAAAGGAAAAAGAGCTGGGCAAAGAAAAATTTGCCTTTTGCCGACGGTAAAAACGATATTTTTTTTATTATTTAACTTGGTTGTTTTTTCGAAAAGGTGGGTTTTCAAATCTGAGAGAGCATGCGCAGTCAGCAGAGAGCCGAAAAGAGGAAGAACAAGTATGAGAGAGGCAGAGAGGAAACGAGAGAAACCAAGGAGAGAGAGAAAAAAAAAACGACCACCTGTCCGAAAACTGACAACAAAGCGAAGCGAAGGAAGACAGCGAAAAGGAAGCGCGGTGAACACAAGCCACAAAAAGGAAGGCGAAGAAGTAGGAGCAGCGCAAAAGGGAGACGGATGAAGAGGTGGTGAAAAGTGAGGGGGGAAAACACAGACTTTTCGAGCTGCATTTATATTGAGATTCGAATTCTCTTAAAGTCCTGAAATTCCTTAAAGTTAAGATCATAAATGGTATAGGGTTATGTTTTTAATGTAATTTATTAATTAGTAAAACTACTAGATTTATAAGGAATTTAACCGATTTGAAGGATTTTTTTTTATAAGAAAGATTTATACAACAAACTATATCCTACAAAATGCACTCACAACTAAATTTTAGGAATATTACATAAGAATACCAAAAATATGAGGATAGTTAAAAAATAATAAATTAAGTTGCCAGTTAAAGGTAATACAATTGGGCAAATATGAGTGGAAATTCCTTAAGTTAAAAGTACATTACAATGTCAATGAATTGGAAATTTTGAAGTTTTTAATCTAAGAAATTGGGATTACAAATTTCTTAACTTAAGAGTTATTGAAAGAAGCAAGAAGAGTTATTAAAAAGCACGGATAAATTTATAAGCAGGATAACCATAGGTATGTAAATATGTACATTTAAATTATTCGTGGTTTTTGTGGCATTTATGGGTTAGGAAGGAGATCTTATAGGTAAGTTCGAGTGGGTTAAAGCTAGGAACTAAGAATAGCTAAGAAGTTCTAAGAAGAACCATTAATGTAGTAGTTCCCACCAATAATAATACTATCTAAAACTATGTGACTTGACTTAAGGATCCTTTGAGAAATCCTTCCATAAATATAATATAATACCATATAAAACAAACTTATTCCATTAAGTTGGAAGTTCTGGGAGTCTTAAGTCGTATTATGGATCATTTGAGAGCCCTGGAATTTGTGTGTTTATGCACCCACCCTATTTTCTCCCCCCCGTCATTCTAAGCGGCGTCTCCGCTTTACTCACCAGTTCCGCGGACGGTGCTTGGCAAATTCGCAAACGCCAGCGTCAGCAGCAGCAGAGGCAGCGACGCCGACAGCGACGCAACGGCGTGCATTTTGTTAATCCAACAACAAATCCAAGTGTTTGGTGCGCGACTGCGACGTCGGCTGCGCGGCGATTGCATTGTAATCCAGTTTTCCAGTTAACCACTTTTCCAGTTTTTCACCTCTTCCTCTTCTCTGCTCGGTTTCTTTGCGGGCTCTCCTCTTTGGTCTCTCTCTTTGAGGATGTATTTTATTTCGAGGATATGGAAATTTTAAAGTTTTTTATTTCTATTTTGCGGGCGGTTTTTCGCTTTGATAGTTTCAAAACTTTAGATCTTAAAGCTTTATTTGATCAACTAAGAGGAGGCACTCTCCCGACGACGGCGACATTTTCCGTTTTGAAACATTAAAAAAAAAATGGCAAAAAAAAACAGCGCTCTTTTTTGTTGCCTTTTTTATATTGTGAGGATCGAGCAAAAATTCAAATTCAAACCGACGCCGCACGCTTGCGTATTGCTCTCTCCCTCGTTCGACTCACTCGCCTTCTCACTCACACACACGCGACTCGGGTCAGATACACTTTTCGAAAAATCCTTGTTTCTTTCTTCTTCTTTTTGTGTTGTTATCCCTTCCACAAGAACTCCTTTTTTAGCGGCGTTTTTTGTAGCGCCATTCCCGTATTTTTTCTTGTTGTTTTTTATTTTGTATCCTCTATTTTGTTTCGGTTTTCCTTGCACTCACTTTCAAAAAAAAAAATAACTGTGCTGTGTGTTTTCCAGGTTCCTCTGACTTTGCGATCGTCCGCTCTCACAACCGTTTCGTCCACTCAAAAAAACCGTTTTAAAAACCGATCAGTGCGATGGTGATGTGAAAAATATATCAATGAATATATCGATGTTTTTTTATAAAAATAAATACTATCGTGAAGTTTTATCAAATATCAAAAATATCGATATATTTATGCCTTGGTATATTTTTCCCACCTCTGACTCTCTCTCTTCTCAATAACAGAAATGTTAAGACCAAATTTTATTAAAAATCTTCAAAATGTAAGAAAACATTGTATCTCATTCGGTTAAATTGAGAGGAGAGAGAATGCCGATCTGTGCGCGGTAGGGATGTGAAAAATACATCAATATATCGGTATTTTTACTGGTACCTTTTTCGGCCGCATTGGCGCTCTCTTACCAATACGTTAAATGTTATATTAACATGTATGTTAAATTGAGACGCTACGATATTTTTTATATATTTTCACAACCCTAGTCAGAAAAGAAGAACGTCGTTGGGCATTTTTATCGCTTTTATTGGCTCAGCCGTTAAGTTTCTTAACCATTTGGAAATGCTGCGAGATCGGTTGAAGAATAAATAAGGCCCGGGGAGAGTGTATCCGCTAGGCCAGGAGATTGTATCGGCTAGCTAGGAGGGTGTATTCGCTATGTCGTGGGGTCAGTCCTAAAAAATCTATGTAAAAAATAAAACGAGCTAAAAAACTTTAAAAGCATTCTCCAGCTGCTGTTCTCTATTAAAACTATCACTAATATTGCTGTCCCAAAACTTCCAGAGTACTTCTGTTCATATATACATATGTATATTCTACTTACAAAATGGTTTATTTTTCAAAATGTTTTAAACCCAATTTAATGTGGTTTAATGTTCACCCATTTCACCATTGACGCACAAACAAATAAGACTTTATTTAATAATTTGATTGATACAAGAACAATTTTTGTTTACATTTGCATTTTACACTTCATGCGATCTTTGTAATTTTGAATATTTTAATCATTTGTGTGTGCAGAGGCATTTTAAATGAAATTTAAAGCCTAAAACTTACATTTTTACATTTCTTTATGTTTCATTATCTGATTGGCAAATAAAATATTTTTCATCATTACAAGGGAATTCAAACATCCCGACTCCACGTAGCAGAACGCATGGACCGCCAATGTCGGACCCTCCGAAGGAAAACGGTGCTTTAAAAACGGTGGCTGGCTTCCCGGAGGCCGTGGATATGTACTCTCCATCTTCCTTCAAACGCTTGATGCCAGTCCAGTAACTCCATCTAAAAAACTTCGACATTACGGCCGTGAGTTCCTCTGGGTTTTCGAAAGCCGCCAAATAGCCGCCCATTTCTCGACATGTTTCTGCAGCCTCATCCCAGGTTTTCTTAATATAATGTTCGATATAAAAATATCTAGATCCAATAAGCTCAAATTTCGGATACTTGATCTTATAATAAATTGTGGAAGGGATTTCGAGAAGGGTTTTCTGAAAGGCCGATAGTTGGTTCTTTAGCTCCAGAAGTTGGGCCTCCATTTTCGACTCGAACATCCGTAGTTGACCCTCCGTTCCATTTAATCTCGCCTCTAGCTTTTTATATACCTCCAGAAGTTGGCCATCTATCAGCATGGATATCTCCATTTTGGTGAGAAGCGACTGGAATTCATTCTTGATCTGTGAATTCACCGATCCAAAATGTCCTTCGGAAGCATTCTTCAGGGATTCGACTCCTTGCTCAATCCGATCCAGCTTCACCTGGCTGTGGAAATTGTCGTCGATAAGAGGATGCAGTGCGGACAGGCAGAAGGCTCCACACTGATTGGGAGCATCGGTAAGTAGGCAGATGGAAGAATCATTATCCTGGAGGGCGCTCAAAGGACCGATGAAATTCAGGACGAAGATGAAAGGCACAAAACTCAGCATCTTGATTTAGTGTAACTTCTCCAAGAGAACTTTTAAGACGTACTGAAAATAATTCGTCTTCTTGTAGGAAAGGAAACCTTAGGAATTGGCGATAAAGAGGCGTTGGTTGTCAACACTGATTAATATTATCACTATAGAAGAAGTCAATATCTTGCGGATTTGCTCTTATCAGTGTTCTAGCACACAGGTTCTTTTAATCTTCAAGTCCGCTTCTAAGGCCGTACACGCAAAAAAATCGATTGGTAAATCTAACCAATGTAATAGTGAAACCCTCCTCAACCTTTGAATTGTCAATTTTACCCAACAAATAGTTACTCGGTCAACAACAAAATACACACAAATTACATTTTTATGGTAGTTTAACTATTAAGTACTAGCAAAAGCGAAAAAAATATAAGTTACTATTTTGAACAGTAGAAACAGTTCTTTGGCATCCCCACACACTTTTTTATTTTAAAGTATGCACTTTGGTTTTTGTAAATTAAAAAACCATACTTAATTTAAGGTAATAACATTTGTAAATACTATATGAAAATAATATATAATTATTTGGGAATAATATGTCTCTTTTGGACCACTCTGATGTGAATATTTTACATAATTCAATTATTTTTTAAAGCAAATATTTGTTCTTGTTTAAAAAGCATATTTTTGAAAAAATTGTATGAAAGAATTTCTTGGGATTTGCTTATGAGTATAGTCTTTAAGACAGGGAAAAGACATTATAAGGTATGATGATCATTTTAATGAAATTCAGTATTAATTCTTGATACTAAATAAACTAAAAACTAAAATGAATATTTTAGGTAATGCAATTATTTTGGTGGTTTTTTCTTTTAATTCAAATCTTCCCAAGTACTTGCCTCATTTTTAGATCCATCCCCCGAGTGAAATGAAGGATTCCTTTTTTAGCATTTTTAAATATTTTATTTCGGTTTTTTCTTGCATTTTTATTTCAACTAATTTGAGTTGTTCTCGACTTAAGTTAATTTTTCGTTTTCTCTTCCTTTAGCACGCAATACGTTCTTAGTTTTCATTTTCCGAACCATTTTCTCAGCACTCTGCACTTTACATACACGTTTCTTGCAATTATCGTAATTTACTTGGCTTAATAGGATTTTCATTTTCATTTGAATTTTCTGTTTTCTTTTTTTGTATCGTTTTGTATTTTTTTGTAACGTCTATGTAATTGAACTTTTAATTGAATCGTTTGACAATTATCCAAAAAATGTAACACCATCTCTGTTTCCGATTTTCGGAACCGCATTCCATTTAAAAAGCTCTGCGCAAATAGGCCAAGGAAAGAATTGAAATGGATTCGAGTGAATAAATCAGGGTAAATAAAGAACATTTAAAGCATTTTCAGTATTACTCTAGATAAATATGTATATTTGTGTATATGTTTTACGAAAATAAACAAAAAAAAATTAATTACAGTATTGGCTTAATGAATTAAGAACCCAACAAGGAATCATAAGGCAGCATTTCGTGTTAAAAATTTTACGCTTCACACTTAGTTGCGTTTTTTGTTTTTTTTTTGGTAGATCGCTCAAATGTTTTACAAATTGTTGCTAAGCTTTTTAAGTTTTGTTTTCTTTACCATTAAAATTGTTTACATGTACTTCTCGTTTACGTTTATAAATAGGCTTAAACCACTAGGCAGACAAAAAAAAAACAAACATTCTCTCTAATCTTAGCTAGTCATTTAATTTAAGCGTTGACATACACATTTATGATCTATATATATATATATATATATATATACGATATACAATATTCCACTTGTTTCTTTACATAATTGATTTAATTTTAAATTTCATTTACTCGCTTAAGGGCTAGGCAAAAAAAGTATTCAAGTTTTCACATGGATGCTGGGATGCTGAGCTCCTTGAGACCCGATCAAGTTTAAAAATTGGGAACTATAGTGGCGACTTTTTATTAATCTATTTAAATTTTTGGGGATTTTTAAATTGTGTTAATACTGCAGCGTCCCGTAACAAAATTAATGTTCCTAAAAATATTCTTTAAAAAAATGTAATTTTTCTCAAAATAATATAAACAATAAGCAAAAATTATCAAGATTGACTTTCACTTTTGGCTTTTCTTGACCGGGTCACTCGACAATTACAGCATTTACTCTAAAGGTTTCTCTCACTGCACTCATTTTTTTGTTTTCGTATTTCTTCATATTTATATATTTATATTTAAGTCTAAAAATTTGATAAATTTTGGCTTAGAAAATTGTTTTTGCTTGCTGCTTTTGCATTTCATCTCTTTCATTCCCTTTCATTTAATTGAAACTAACTACAGGCATTTCATAATTACGTTTCTATTTAATTGAATTGATTTTCGGTTTTTGTTTTTTAAAATTGTATGCAACTCGCTGTTTAAAATGAACTTTTCAAGTTTGGTAGTTGGTTTATGTTTATGTTTATGCTTTTCCCTTCTCATTTCTTTTCCGATACGTTTCGTGTTTAATTGATATACGATTTTTTTACTCGATAAGTAGCTTAAGATTTGCACTAGTTGATATAATTTGCCGTTGCCGTAAAATAATTAACGCTATAAATCACAATACGGTTTTTGTTTTCTTTTCTTTTCTGTTTTTTTTTTCTTTACATACAATATATTTTCATGGTTAGGTTTTTTGCTCAAGGATGCCGAACTATTGCCTCCGGGTCTGTACGATACAAATTTACAAAAAGGCAAAGGAAAAATCGCTCTTAGTGCTTAAATTTCAGCCATGATATAATTATATGTAGAAGTTATACTTTGCGAGGCCCAATCGTAAATAGTTGACACCACTTGAGCCAGAATTACGCTAATATTTATCGACCAAAAAAAAAGGATGGTTACACACTAGAAGTTCTGCTTTTTAATACATTTACGGGTTATGCTAATGCTTCATATTTATATATATATCCTTCTTTGCCTTCGTTTTCCAGGATTTTCGAAAAGTTCGCCTTCCCACTTAAACGTGTGTGGCCAGAGGTCCTTTCTGCGTGTGTCCCTTGCCATTGTTGGACAGTATAAATTGGCCGGACGGACTCTGGGCACACTGGCCGCCGTTTCCGCCACCGCCCGCCAGGGGCGTGGCAGCCAAGGTGTTACTGCTGGCGGTTAAATTCGAACTGCTACCGCTGACGCTGCCGCCCGCTGCCACGCCCCCTCCGCCACTGGGCGTTGAGCCACCCCCTCCGCCTCCACCGCCACCCATTCCATTCAAATTCCCAACTGGACTCGTCGTGATCACCGCGCCGCCCACGAAGTGCTTCAGGCCGCCGTTGGCATGGTGGGCGTGGCCGTGGCGGGCTGCATGATAGGGCGGCGGGGCGGGCGTGGCCGCCGGATTGGCGGTACTGGGCGGTGGGAGGGGCGGCAGCAGCGAGGAGTTCGTCCTTAGGTAGGGATTACCGTAGATGGCGCTAAATCGGCTATCGATGCCGTTCTGAAGTAGCGGTTGACCTAAAAAAGTCCGGAAATATTATTAGTTTTATTGAAGAAAACTTGAAATATTTTATTTGGTAAGCAGACTAGATCTAATAACTTCATAATTAATTTAAATAATTTGATCTATTTTAAATATGAAAATATTACGTTTTGTTATTAAGTTATTTTTCATTAAATTAAACATAAGCTTTAAGAAACATTTTACCTAATATTTCATTATTATTTATTTACTATTACTATTTACTAATATTTATTTAATTAGGCAATTGAATATGTTTTGTATTGAATATTATGCTTTTGTATTTAAATATTTATCTATGATTCAAAAATATGTATTTAATTAAGTTTTTAAGGGTTAAAATGCCTTGAAAACATGAAACAACAAAAATTAATTATTTTTCGGAAACGGTAAAATCATAAACAGAAGGCCTTTGAAATTTTTCTGTTAGCTTTGAAACTGCTAGAAAATGGTGCGAAAAATTATACTAAAAAACGAAATGTATAGAATTTCAGGAACCTCCGAAAGTTTTAAATTTTTCCATATTTAATATGTGATTCACTTGAAAACATCTATACTCCACAACTAAATATATTCGACTAATATTAAATAATATTAGATAAATTAATCATTAGCAATTAACTCACCGAGAAATCCGTTCGCCTGCTGGGACTGCTGAAGTTCGTGTCGCTGGTTGCGTGGCAGACTGGCCCCGCCCCCATTGCCGGCGCCGCCCCCGTTGACAGAGGCGCCCGAGTGGGGCAGCGTAGCCGAGTTCATGCCACCGTTCTTGACCTTGGCGCCACCCTGACCCTGAGCACCGCCGCCCACCACCACGGCCGCACCGCCCTCGCCGGGCGGACTGTAGTCCAGGGCATACTCGAAGTAGTGGGCATAGCCATTGGCCTGCGGACTGCCGCCCTTGTAGGCGGTCTCCTGCTGATTCTTCAGGTTCTTGATGTGGCACTGCCGATTGTAGCGATCGCCACCGAAGTCGCCCGAGAATCGCTCGTCGAACTTCACGGGTCCCGCGAGCGGAACGCCCAGGGTGGCGCCCTTCATCTGGACATCGGGCATGGGGGATTGCGTCAGATTGATGGCCAGACCATCGCCGCCCGCCTCCGAGTACTCCACATCGTAGGCCTTCGAGCGCAGCTCGCTCTTCAGTTCATTCAGCTTGTCACCGCCACGTGACGCCTCCGGGATGACGTCAGCGGGCATGGGCTTCTTGCGACTGCGACGCTTGCGATAGACAATGATGATCATCACGATCATCAGGACGATGGCCACGCAGAACATGGAGCCCATGACCACCAGCAGAACGGGTATATTGCCGGGTTCGCGCAGCAGGGTTATCACCAATGAATCACCGCCGTACGAATTCATCACTGTGCAATTGTACTTGCCGAAATGGGTGGCCTTGCTGTCCCTGATTATCAGCGCCGCTCGCACGCCCTCCGGCAGGTGGTGCTCCTCGAAGATATAGATATCCGGATCGGCACTGCTCATATTGATGATCTTGCCCTCGAACGACCAGAGAATGTGCTCCGCCTTCGGGATGCTGAAGGCCAGGCAGTCGATCTTCACGCGACCACCGACGCCGCCAAACTGCACCTTGTGCGACGTGATGATCGGGGCCCTCTTCACGTAGACCGTCGCCTCGGCCCCGATCTCGGGGAATCCGTTGACCACCGCCTTGCAGAAGTAGCGGCCAGCGTTCTCGCTGCTCACCTTCAGCTTCAGTTCCGGTGCGTTGCCAACCACCTGCGGGGAAATAGTAATTTAATAACCATTAATAACGCGAATTCTTAAGCCTTATTTGATAAAAATCTGACTAAATTCTTGCCTAAATCTTTAATAATATATATGTAGGTATAATCAGCCAAGCAATGCTGCAAGATTTGTCTTTTGAAGGCTCCTTTAATTATTTTGACTTTACCGCGAATTCTTTAGCTTTATTTGATAAAAATCACGTGGAGTAAACTAAATTCTTTTATAACATATATAATCAGCAAAGCAATAATGCAAGATCTTTCAATTTTTAATTACTTGAATTTTACTGCGAATTCTTCAGGTTCACATGAATTTTCCTTAAATGATCAAAATTTATAGTAAATAAAGTCAGCTAGAAAATAATATGTAAAACTTAAAGCATTGCTAATTTTAATCAAATATTGTCGTGAATTCTTAAGGAACGTAAGAATTTTTTCTAAGAAAATTTAGTGAAATTTAAAGCAGTGCTAATTTGACTCGCCGCGAATTCTTTAGCCTTATATGCCATAATCTCAAAATTGTTTGAAAATATTTAATGTCGAGAATCACTTAAAACTACATTGGCATTACCGCGAATTCTTTAGACTCAATTAAAATCGTTTCCTAAATGAGCCATTTTCGAATGGATAGCGAATTCTTTACCTGCACGCGATCTTTGATTACTCACCCTATCATTGTTCTCGCTGATCCATTCGATTTCGGGCGTGGGATTGCCGGCGACCTCGCAACGCATGCTCACAGTGGCGCCCAGATCGGCCTCCACACTAACGGGTCGCTGGCGGAAAACGGGGCCAACTAGTGGGGAAAAAGCAGAGGGTATGTAAATATATAGATTTAGCAGGACTAAAGAGAAGTTACAACTTACAACTGATGTCCAGTTGGACGTTCTTCTCGCTTTTGCCCACTGCATTGACCACCTCGCATTTGACCGTGGCCTCGTGATATTGCCGCGATACATTGTGAATAATCTGGAGGGCAAAGGATAATTAATTATAAATATATAGGTATATAATAATATGATAAATACTTACCATTTTGGTGGTAAAATCACCGGTCATTAGCTCATCGTTGATGAACCAACGGTAGCTGAGTTCATGCGGATTGGCGTCGGCCTGGCAACTGAGAATGACCTCGGCGCCCTCGGGAATTTTACCGCCCGCCAAGGCGCCACCCACCACCGAAACGCTGACCTTGGGCGCATACTTGACCTCCAGCAGGAGCTTCGCCGATCTGTACGTTCGATCGGCGGTATTTTGTGCCTGGCAGGTGAAGGTCGTATTGTGATGCTCCTTTTTGGGCGCCAATTTCAAAATCGATCTGGCCGTTATGCGCCGCGAATCGGCTAGCGGTTCCTTGACATACTCAATGCCCTTGGTTAGGACATTGCCCAGGCCATCGATCCAGGTGATTTCCGCTGCCGGCTTGCCGCCCTGTGAGACGCATTCCAACTCGATCTCGCGATCCTCGGTGGTCACTAGGTAATCACCCTGCGTGATTTTCGGCGCCTCCGGCGGCACCAGAACCGTCAGCTTGGCGAAGCGCGATCGAATGCCCTGCTCGCCCTGCGGACCCGGACCCACTTGGCACTGGTACTTGGCATCGTCGTCCAGCATCAGCGGGTAGATGTCCAGCGAGAAGTCGCCCTCCTCGTCGCTGCCCACCATCGAGTAGCGTTCGAAGCCGCTGAGATTCCGATGCTGGCCCAGGCCAAAGTCATCCTTGGTCCACTGCAAGGCGCCGACCTTCTCCATCACCCGGCAGGGCAACGTGACCCGGGATCCCACGACGGCGGTCTGATCCTGCGGCTCCATGGCAAAGTGCTGGCCACCATTGTCGCCGGCCTTCGGTTTGTTCTCGTCACTCGACGAGGAGGAGGATCCCGCCGAGGAGGAGGATCCCTGCGAAGCGGAGGAGGAGGAGTCACTGTGGTGCGAGTTCTGGTTGGACTTGTTCTTCTTCGACTTGGCTTGGACGGCAGTCGGCTGGAGGAGGAGCAGCGTCGTCAGGATCAGCAGGAGAATCAGTGGCAGGGGCACCAGGAGGCGACTGCTGCGCATTCTCGCCATTTTCACCGGGCAATTGTTAACTCAGCTGGAAGAAGGAGAACAGCAAAGTGTTATTCAATACTTGAATGATACAGTTTAAAAGTTAAATATGTAATACTAGACAGAAAATCAGAGTAATATGTGCAGGTCAATTTTATATTTTTTTTAAGATTATGTTTAAAGATTATGTTTATCTTATTATACATTACTTGCTTAAAAAACTCTCCATTTTGCATTTTAAAAAAGCATTTTCATCATATTAATGATTTACTGATATAATAAAATATCAAGTTTATATGTTTAAGTCATAAATTTTACATTAATCATATCGGCCTTTTATTGATGTGAAAAACGATAGAAATGATCCTATTTATATAGATTTTTTTCTGTGCACGATTTTAAAATGATTTATAAAGGTGTCTAAAAGTATGCAATAAAATACATTGATTTCGGAAATGATGTAATAAATGTAACAAATTTTTGTTTTTAAATTAAGAAATTAGTTAAGAATACTAGCTACAAATTGAAATGTAAGTTTTAAAAATCGTCTGTCAGATGGCGTTTAAACTTAAAGTAAATATATTTTACGCTAAAATAATAGGTGGCGATTTTGTACAACCTACTAAAAGATGGCGCCACTTTGATTCAATTGTCACCGCTAGATGGCACAGAGATGACTGTGTAGATGTCAAATGTAAAGAACATTAAAAATTATGTTGCAGCTATAAAAATAAACACAATAAATTAAAGTTTTTCTCTTTAAAAATCACTAAAAATAGGCTTAAAAGTACTAGAATGGTCGCACTGGCTTTTGATACAGTTGCTTGGTCCCACTCAAAATTATATCCTTTATTATAAACAACATTTGTTTAACTTATCTCTCTGTTGTGTCCTTGCATACTTTTTTTTATAATCCCCTCTTATTTGTTCAAGTTTTTTCGCTATTTATGTTTTTCCCTTATTGAATTACAGCTTTTCGTTGCGCAATGAATGAAATCTGGATGAAAACAGATGCCATAAAAAATAATTACAAGCCAGGCGCTCGCAAAGAAGATTCGACTTTTTAAAATCCCCTCGCCGCCTCTTTCACCTTTTACTTCTCGAATGGCAAACGAATGCAATAAAATGCGTTTTGTGGGTCAAGTTTAAACCAAATGAAAGGGCAGAATGTGCATGAAAAAAAATATAAAAAAAACAAGAAAAAACTCTGGTATTATGGAGCGGAATATGTGGGGTTGTCAGTTGTCTGGATTTGTGTCGTCAACTGCAGCAGACTGCAACTGCAACTGCTGCTAAGCTGTAAATGTAACTGCAGGTGGTGCACCGAAAAATTAAAGTAAAAACAGACAAAAAACATAAAAAAATTAAAGATGACACTTTTTAAATTTATACTACATATTTTACCATTTTAGTTAAGAACACTTAATGTTAATATGTCATAGAGCTTAAAAAATATCATTTAATATGTGATTTCCGTTAAAAACATCGGTATTATTAAATCGATATTGTATAAATATCGAAATTATCAAATTGTGTTTGAAAATGCCAATTAAAGTCATATAAATAAACGTCAAAAGTGATGCTAAAATTTTAAAATAACAACATTAAATGCATTTTCCTTTTTTTTTAGAAACTTTTTAAAATAATTAGTTTTACCTTGCATTCAGATTTTTTTGAATGTTGCAAGAATTGAAATATATTTTCATAGCGGACTTTGCACGCATTTCTGGGTTCTGCATTTTTTTTTCAACGATTTTGTAACGCGTTTTTTCACACTTTTTGTCGTCTATATTTTTCGTTTTTTTTTTTTTTTTATTTTCCGTTGGGCTTGTGTACATTTCCTCACTTCCATTTCCCAGCGACTGAATGCGGCCCCCATAAACAAACAGGCCGCCAAACATATGTATGACATATGGGATAGGACCTCCCCCCTATTTTTCCTTTTCATCCCCTTGTCAGTCGGTGTTTGGCCTTGGCATTTGCGGCTTTTGATTGTTTTTCGCATTTTTCTTTTGCTTTTTTCTTGTATTTTTTTATTTGGAAAAATCGGTGCTGACCTAAGAACATTTAAAGTAAAAGGAAATGCAAGAAAATATTGCAACTATTACATTAAATTGAAGAAACTAATTAATATAATTACAAACATAGCATTAAAAGGTATTTTTTCTTCAACTAACATATATTTTAGAAAAATCATTGAATTAAAAAAGCTAAAAGCCGTAAGTAAATAAAAAGAACATAATGTTTATAAGTAATGAAATTTATTATACCCGTTACTCGTAGAGTAAAAGGGTATATTGTATTCGTGCAAAAGTATGTAACAGGTAGAAGGAAGCGTTTCCGACCCCATAAAGTATATATATTCTTGATCAGGATCACTAGCCGAGTCGATCTAGCCATGTCCGTCTGTCCGTCTGTCCGTCTGTCTGTCTGTCTGTCTGTCTGTCTGTCTGTCTGTCTGTCTGTCTGTCCGTCTGTCCGTATGAACGCTGAGATCTCGGAAACTATAAAAGCTAGAAGATTGACATTTTGCATGCAGATTCTAGGAGTTCCTACGCAGCGCAAGTTTGTTTCAAAAGGGTGCCACGCCCCCTCTAACGCCCACAATCGCATATATACGATTTTAAAAATTTCAATATTTTGGAAAAGTAAAAATGCAGTTTTATTGTGTTTATCAATACCTATCGAAATGTAGAAGAAATTTTTTAAATCGGACCATTCGTTAAAAAGTTACGGCGGATCAAAGTTTTTCTCCATCTCTTTCGCACTCCCTTTAGCTGAGTAACGGGTATCTGATAGTCGGGGCACCCGACTATAGCGTTCTCTCTTGTTTTTTTGTATATTTTGCTTATTTTTTGATAAATTTGATTCACAAAGAAATTCAATGCCTTTTTAAAATATTGTTTTAATAAATTTTAATTTAAATAAATTTTAATATTTATGCCAAACATTAAATTGAGCTGTTTGTGGTCTTGAATGTACCATAAATTCTAAGTGGACAACAAAAGTTGACCATTTGAATGCCGGTCGAAACACTTTTTAAGTCCTTATCGAGTGCACACGTGAGAAATTTCCGTGCTTGTTTCGGTTTCACCTTATCCTTGACTCTAACAATGGAAAATCTACCCGTTTTTCACCATTTTCCCCAATTCCCCCTCCCCCCTTTCGACATCTAGCCAAAAGGTAATGCTAACGATTTCATCAAATTGGCGCCACCTTCGGAAGGCCAAAAACAACAAAACAACAAGAACGGAAAAAAAGGAAACGGACGGAACGGAACGGAAAACAAAAAAGCGCGAAAAACACGGAAAAACGGAGCTCAAAAACGCGCTTAAAACGCTAACGAAACGCGCCGAAAGACAGCATATATATCCCACCAATCCGTATCGCTATCGCTTTAGCTGCGGCTATAGCTATACGGCTATCCTTTTGCCATTTGCTGGGGCTTTTTCTACTATTTTTGATACCCTCGTAAAGGAAGGGTATATTAAATAAAAAGATATTGGGATTTCAAGGAACTTATGTGTTCCAGTTAATGGTTTAATTAAATTTTTTTAAAATAATAATATTATTATTTTTGATTATTAATTAAATAAAATTCTTAAAGAAATTTTTTAAATTGGCTAAATACATTTTTTCATTCCGATTTAATTTTTAACATTTTTTGGTCTATGACAGTAAACAAAATTTATAAAACAAACCTATTAAGAAATTTAAAAACATATTTTAAGAAACATTTATCCTTAAAATGTTCCGAGTAGATGTATAATATTTTCAGCGAATATTTTTAAATCCCTATCCTTTTGTTGGATCTTGTGATCTATTCTTAAGAGAATTATTTCGAGGACGGAATCCTATTTTTCCAGGATATTTTCTAGTGCTGTGCGCTACCTTCTCGATTAAATTCGTACGGTTTTCTGTGCGGCTCTCTGTTGCTCTGTTGCTTGTTTACCAGCGCCATGATTTACGGCATTTGCACTTTGACTGCGACTACTGTGCTCCGCTGTCCGTATCCGTGTCCGTCCGTATTTTGTCCGTCCCCCAGAAAAGTCCGGGCATATATAGAGCCGGAAATGCCCGGCGTGCGTATATGCCAGGTGATAAAAAAAGGGGGTAGGGGGTGGGGGTTCGGACAAAAGGCAAAGGAAAACTGTGGAAAAACTTTGGAAAGCTCCGGGTTCGCTTCGCTGGCAGCAATATGCTTGCCTAAATTATTAAAAATTATAATAAAATTTTTATGACCATAAAAGGCCACCGAACGAAAGCCGCTTGGCTTTTGGTGGGTTTGTAGGGGGAAGGGGGGCTAGTAGGCCCCCGAAAGCCCCCCTTTTTGTGTGGCAGGACCCCATGGGTCCTTCGACCAAAAGTTGTACAGGAAATGACTGGACATGATTTTTCGTGCACACATAACTTTTGTTTTTAGTTGCGGTAGATTCTCGTTGGATAGTAAAAACCACTTCCCCGATAGTCTCTCTCTTTACTCCCCTTCCCCTCTCCTCCTCACATTTTCCACATTTTCTTTTGCGTGCTTGGGACCCGGAGGATTGGACGTTCCTTCTTCCATTTTTCCCCCCGACTTTAGCTTTTATGTACTTCCAGGCGAGACATTAAAATTACTTTCGGTCTGCCATCGCTGTGTCACTTGGTTTTTATTGTCCCTAAGATCATGAATTACTATAATCACTACGATTGTCCAGAGTTATGTGAAGTGGAACAGGGGCAAATATAAAGGTTTATTAACCTTTAGCTGCTATCAAAATATATTTTGGGTTAAGAAAATGTTAAATGACAGTTGGGGGCAACAGAAATTATTGGACAAAAATAAAAACAAATTGAAAATATTTCTAAGGGTGCTGAAAAATGTGATTTTTATTAAGACATTTAATTAAGAAGAAGAAGAAGCTAATAAATATTAATACAACGTTTAGATTCATACCAATTAGTTTTTTGATCAAATTTATTTATGCTTTAACGATCAAACATTTTTTTTTTCAAAAATATCACCAATAATCCGGTCTCTACTGATTAATTTGTATTTATTTATCG